ATCAGAAACAAAAGTTTTACTAAATGTTATGTTGTTTGGGCACTCTTCAAGCGCACATGGACACAATTTATTCTCTTCCAGGAGCCATGTTCTGGTTCAGATATAAAAGCTTCACAGAAAAACTCTGCGGGGTATGTGTAAAAGGAAACATTTAAAATTGTATTATAATTGCAACAGACTAGAAAGATATAGATTTAGTCATTGTTTATCCTTGGGTCATTTTTGGAAGATTTTAAAAACTAAAAAGTTTAAGGAAAAAGTTCTGGAAATCTTGAGTGTGGCTTACCATCCAATTTGTCTTCATATCCAAGAAGAAAATTATACATTTTAAATCAAAGTAAGTTCAGGACATTTTGGTATTTTAGAGGCAGCCATGTCTGTAGCTGTTGCCATGGTGTCTACAAAATACCCTCCGGGCCCACCTTGGATTTCAGCCACAGCTGAGAACTCCACTCAACCTTAGACTCACCTTTTGGTGACAGCAACCCATCTCAAATAAGCACCCCATTTCTCTACTTTGTGACAAAGTGTCATTTCCAAGGCCATGGGAGCCCACTGGGTCTATATACAAGTATGTTGCATAAATGTAGAGGAGTAATGCCTTTGACCAATGGGTCCAGGGCTAGTGGACAGATGATTTAGCCTCTGGTCCTTCTGGTAGACAACTCTGGGAAGGACTTGCTCATTTCTGAGGTGGTGCTGGTCCTGGAATCAAGTCCCAAGCTCCCCAATGGCAATCTTGATCATATACCCTTACGTTGTATTTTCTTCCCTATCTCATTTTCCCTGCTCTCTCACTCTTGCTTCCTGAAATTAAGTCATAAATAAACTATTTGCTTCCAAGTATTTGCCTCAAGGTTTTTTTTTAGGAACATAACAAAGGACTTTGGTATGAGAATGCCCCTGGTAAGCAGACCCCTAGGATGGGGTCCTGGAACTGGATCACTTACCTTATTTATTGCTAGGATGAGCAGGATGGTGGTAATCCCCGGTGTGCATTACAGTTCCTAAGAACCTCCTGGGGGAGGCAATGGGTTACCTAGAAGCTGTGTCACTAGAATTATTTGGGGTTAGAGGATTGTGGAACTAGCTAGCATCTGTTACTTGCCTTGGAAGACTTGTAAAAATAACTGCCTCAGATCAGCCAACTATCATAGGGTACACTGAAAGCCAAAAGGCTACGTTGGCGGTATATAAAGAGACCATTATCTCCTTAGCCACGGCACAACTCTGTGGCCAGCAGAAACAGAAAATCTGACCATATACGACATCAAATGATTAACTGGAGTTGTCCATTGTGAGCTGGGTGCTATCAGTTTCACCAAATCAAAAGGTCACAGTAGCAATCCATCATCCATTGGAGATAATATATTTGGGATCAAGCCTGAGTAAGTCCAGAGCGCACATGTAAATTTTGTGGACAAATGGCCTAGGTTCCAAATCACTTGCCTCTCTTGCACTAGTGCATCTTAGTCCACCTACTTCTATGACTTCATGGGGGAATTCCCTACGGTTAGTTGTTTCAGTTACTTATCAATATGCTAATGCTATACAATAAAAAACCAAAAAATCTTTAGGAGAATCAACAATGAGCATTTATTACTCACACATATAGGACCAGCTGGAAATTCACTAGACACATTTTCTGATCTTGGCTGGACCTGCTCATGGCTTGGGATTGGCTGCTGAGTGACCGAAACACCACATTTCTCATTCTCCATCAGACTATTCCAGTCAGGTTCTACGTCAGTGGCAGAGGCACAAGAGAACGCAAGACCAATCACCCAAGTATTTTTCAAGCCTCTGCTTGGACCAAATCTGTTGACTTTCTGTTGACCCAAAGGAAATCACTTGGCTAAGTTCAGAGTCAAAAGGTGAGGCAGAATGTTGCACCCAGGATGAGAAGGCAATGCAAAATTATATGGCACAGGGAATGGAGACAGGGAGAAGTGAAGAACTGAAACTATGTGTGCAATATTATCATACCGGATGACAGATAAGGAAAAAGTGGTCCTTGTTAATTGGATGAACCAGCCTGCTATGCTGGATATGTTGGTATGGGCCAGACCAGGCTGGCTTATACATTATAGCCTCTCTGAGAGATAGACCTAAGGATTGGCAGTGAAAGAAAAATTGTGCTGATGGACAGCCTCAAACAGTGCACTTGATAAGAGAACAACGATGGAGAAAGAGATAGCCTGAGTTAAGAATACACACAATCTTCTTACCAAGGCAAGGTGTGCCGACTTTTGTATCATGGACTGTCAATATGAGAGCACTCCCTTGAAGAGGCAAAGGTTAGGTGGACAGAGTGATTCCTTCAGGTTTCAGCCAGCCTGTCCCTGACTACTCCAGGCTTAAACAACATGCCCACGAATGGAGTAATGGTGGTGGCAGAGATGTAGACAGAGATGTTGTGGGCCCAACAGCTTGGGCTTTCTCTCAGTAGAGGTGATCTAGTTACCGCCACTGCCAAACACATAACCAGCAGCAGAGACCAATGGTTTGGTGCCATTCCTTCAGATTAACCAGTCACTTGGTAGCAAGTTGTTGGTAGTAATTTCCTTCCACCTTGGAGGAAGAAGCAATTCTTCCCTATGGTAACTAATGTGTACTCTTACGTGGGCTTGCTTTAGTACTTGGCCATCATTATTATCTGATAGCCGGTGGAATGTCTATTACTAACACAGTACCTGGGATTACATTGCCTCAAATCAAGGAACTATTTTGTAGCACGTGAAGAATGACATAAATGATTGGATCCATGGTCCCACCATATACACTATTGTCCAGAAGCAGTCAATCTATTAGAACAATGAAATGTCCTGTTACTGAGTCACCTTGGGTACCAGCTCAGAGACAACATCTTACAGGGTTGGGGTGCTGTTTTCCAGGACGTGATGCATGCACCACGCCCATAGCCACCATATCATGCCATGTCCCCAACTACGAGAATCAATGGGCCCAGGAACCAAGAGGTCCTGGGTGTTGCCAAATGGTCCCATTGGGCTGCTCATGTCTATGGGACAACAGGCGAAAAAAGAGAGTGAATATGTTGGCTAACGTGAGCTAGAATTGTGACTATAAAATGAAGGCTATGTCTGGAATTCAGGTAATTCGTTTGGGCACATCTGATGCTTCCAAGCTTGGCGTGGACAGCAGGGACAATTGTGATAATCAGAGCCTAAAAAAGGCAAAGTCACCAAGGTCCCAGATCCCTGAAAGGATGGAGGTCTGGGTCACTACACCAGGCAATCAAACTAGAATTTCTGGCAGAGAGCAAGGAAAATTTCCAATGGGTGGCGGCGGCGATGACGAATGTGAGTTTTGGCTTTGGGTTCAGCTGTAGCAACAGGAAACATAGTTTGTCTCACTAATCCTCCTGTGTAGTTTTATACACTGGCTGGCCATCACCTTATGGACTTGGTGATGAAGTGGACTTAACGTGGGACTCTAGCAGCTCTGAATAGGCAAGGGTAAACAGCAGCAAATACCTTTGGCTCCACATCACATCCCTTGTCGACTTCTGAGATTAGCCACAGCTGCACTAGACAGTTCTGAGCTCGGATTTTTCCTTCTTTCGCTTGTGAAATCCCATAGGTGTGGGCCATACAGCTTTCTGTTTTCTGTTCCAAGTCCTTTTTCAACACTGGGGAAGCCTCCACTTTCTCATACAAAGGCAGAGTCCGGAAATACAGGGGTAGTTAATGCTTCTGGTGGTCACTCTCAACTAATGGGGCATGGACACTGGTCAATAAATGGTCCCATCTGTATTGGGTGGACAATGTAGGGAGCATTCTTTAAGCTTCTCAGGAGGTCTTGGAGCACACCAGCCCCAAATGGAAACTTGATAATACACCTTTGCGTGGATTCCCTCCTCCTTAATCTCTCTGTTCTCTTACTTTCGCTTCTTGGGATCACCTCACAAATGACCTACATACATCTAAGTCCTTTTCTGAAGTAAGAACCATTAATCAAGTGTATTTATGTATCTTTCCATGTAAGTATAGTTGGCTCTCCGTATCTGCAGATTCAGCATTTGTGAATTCAACCAACAGTGGACTGAAAATATTCATTTTTAATTTACACTGTTGCTGAGGTGTACTATGTAGTTAGGTTTACGATAGCTGGGTCTGTACTGAGCATGAAGACTTTTTTTCTTGTCATTATTCTCTAAACAACATAAATACTACTTACCTAGCATTTACATTTTATTTGGTGTTATAAGTAATCTAGAGATGATTTAAAGTATATAGAAAGATATGTGTAGATTATTGGCAAATATTACGTCACTTTACACAGAGGACTTGCGCATCCAGAGATTCTGGTACCTGCAGGGGTTCTTGGAGCCAATGCCCTGTGGATGCTGAGGGCCGACTGTATTTTAGAAATTTTCTAGACTGTGCAAATGATTATTCATGAAGAATTATTTGCAAGGTGAGGTGAGGACATTTTAAACCTGTGCAAACTGCATATATTTTTTCCTGTTTAGGCAATAAAAAAGCTGATGACAATGATGCTTCTCACTCGAAACTACAATGAAATTACCTTCAATTCAATTTCTATCTGATAATAAATAAGAATGTCTGGCTTTGATCGTATAAGATCTAATGGCCAAGTGGTGAAAAGCTCTATAAGCTAATAAATACTACCAGTAAGTTCCACAGCCTTACTTATATGATATATAAACTTTAAGTTGCCATGGAAAACTTTAATCCAATATTATTTTCTGCCAGAAATTTTTTTAACAAGTTGTATGATACAAATGCACATAATACTTTTCTTGCTAAAATATTCACTGAAAACAAAATAACTGTCTTAGCCAAATTCACTTTTTTTATCTAGTCAGTTTTTGATCACTAACTGCACATTGACTTTATATTAAATGCTCATTGTATCCCTGCAATTTTCTATCTTAGTATTTGTAGCATTGATTGAACTTTTTTAGGCTACTTTATTTTTCAGTTCAGGACTCTTTATTTTAGTAACAAGACGTATTGTGAGGTTATAAGTGGTTTATTATTATTATTACTTTAACACAGAGAAAGCTTGATGGTGACTATTTGACCATTTGTTGTTTCTGTGAAGAAGAGTTCAAGTTCAGGCTGTTTCCAACAGAATGTAAATTTATGCCTTTATGTGTATATATAATTGTTATCAAAATTAAACTTAGTCACTAAAAGAAGATTCACTATCTGAACTTTCTTCTGTATTTTTTTCACCTTCTCCATTAGGCACTGGAGCATCTGGCCTCCTGAAAAAGAAGGGAAAAAAATTTTAAAGGTTTTTCCAGTTGAAAAAAGCACTTACTCACTATAAATTAGGTTCATCCTAGAATATTGCTGCTAATAAACCTGCCAAGTCTACATCCTTAACTCAGAGAGACTCCCACTCTCCACCACAGCATTCGTCTCGCTGGCGTCTCCGGCACCATGGGGATTAAGTGCTATTCCTGTACAGGCCGTGGCACTGCCTGCTCTTGCCAGTCCTTACACAGTGTGCTACTTCAGCACTTCATGGTTCTCGTTACCACGGAGATCCAACTATAGACAGAGATGCGATCTGGGGAGGCTGGCATGACCGGGGTTACACCCACGCCGCCTCCAAGTGTCCTGAAGTACAGAGAAAGAAAAGCTAGCAATGGAAAGAGGAGGAAAATCTTCATGTTCAGGAAAGATGGAAGGAGAAATTTTTAAAATGGAAGAGTGTTCAGGAATGGCTATTAAGAAACACAGGCAATATGGACATTTTGTGCGAGTGAAGGTTATTCCTATTTGTTGGATGTTTTCACTTATGTGTTTCATCTTCAGAGAATAAATACAAAAAGTATGAGTTGGTAAAAACAGTGTCTCAAAATTTCACTAGGCACCACAAGGAAATTGGAGAATGGGTAAACTTCAACTTTGCAGGGCTGTGCTATAATAAACCAAAATAAAATTTTAATATAGTCATTAAAACGGCCAACTAGATAGACACTTGTGAAGGGGTTTGGGATGCTAGAAACAACAAATGTGGGAATAAGTGGGGATGGGATTCTGGGCAAAGGGGAAAAAATGGGAATGGTATGATACTGCACATTTGGGAACTCTAGAGAGTAAGGTATGTACTGTGGTAGAAAAGTAGAGGAGATTGGATCATTTGGCAGGAGTAACATGTGAAGGATGGGGAAAAGTTATATAAAATACAAGTTTTCACTGAAATTGCGCAACTAAGTTTGGAATTCTTAAGTAGTCATTTATTTTACATTTACATTGTGATGTAATCATCACCACCATCTCCAGAACTCTTTCTATCTTGCAAAACTGAAACTCTATACCCGTTAAACAATAACTCCCCAACCTCCTTTCTCTCCAGCCTTTCGCAACCACTATTCTACTTTCTGTCTTTGAATTTGACTATTGTAAGTGGAATCATATAGTATCTGTCATTTTGTGACTGGCTTATTTCATTTATTATATAATGAAGGCCTTCAAGGTTCATCCATGTTATACAGCCTGTATCAGAATTTCCTCCCTTTTTAAGGCTGAATAATGTTCCACTGTGTGCATATGCTATATTTTATTTAATCATTCATCGGTAGATGGGCATCTGGGTTGTTTCCACCTTTGGGCTACTGTGAATAATGCTGCCGTGAACAAGGGTGTACAAATACGGGATGCCACAAAAGTAGGCTTCCAGTTGTTCACATGGGAAATAGTACAAAAATTAATCAATTCTATGTTGTGCATACTCAGAACTGAAAACCTACCTTTTCCCCTTCCATACATGTCCAAGTCCTTGCTTTTACTTTTTTAAGGTATATGCTCAGAAGCAGAACTGCTGAATTACATGGCAGCCCTAGGATTAATTCTTTGAGGAACTGCCATACAGTTTTCCATAGCGGCTATACCATTTACACACAGTACAAAAGTGTTCCAGTTTCTTCATATCCTTGCCAGTGCTTGTTATTGTCTATCTTTATTTGTTTTTAAATTTGAGATATAATTGACATAATATTATATTAGTTTTAGACATTGAACATGTTTTATTTGTATATACTGCAAAGTGATCACACCATAAGTCTAGTTGATCTCCATCACCATATATATCTTCAAAATTTTTTTCCTTGTTATGAGAACTTTTAAGAACTACCTCTCTTAGCAACTTTCAACTATACCCTAGAGTATTATTAACTATAATCGCTATGCTATACACTACATTCCCATGTTTTGTTTTACAGCTGAAGTTTAGCCATTGGCAGACCACAACTGCCTTTTAACACCACCTTTTCGATATTTTTGTCTCTGTCACTCTTGAGATCAAGGTCTTCAACACTGAACCAATCACAAGTTTCTGACGTTGTTTTTTCCCGTACTCTACTTTTTAGCAAGTATGCCAGCTGGTGGTTAAGGATTGGTAACTAAATTGAATGGAAACTCAGCTCAGCAAGAACTAAAAGGATGGGACCAGTATAAAACCTACTTTTAGGATTGTCCGGTTGGGGAACTGAGGCTTATTTTATCCTCAGTCGGCCAAAACCCAACCTTTGATCCCTTGTGTTGCTGTGCAGCAGGAGGTGGACAAAGATCTGCGGCAGATAAGGAATTCCTTTACAGAGAAGGGAAGTCTGTTGGACATGCCTTGAATGTAATTAACAGAAAGTTTTCTTGCTTTCCATTATTCTTTTAGTTAACACTAATAAATCTCCTCTTGTCTCAGAAATAAGTAGGCTGAGGTGGTTACTTTTATTTCTGAAAACCATAAGATTGGTCATTCCACAGTCTGGGAGAAAGGAATAAAGCTTTTGAATAGATACCTTCAGGACAAATGCCAGCTGAGCTGGTTCTGTTCAGTCTGCACAATAACTTGAACTCAACTATATGCTTTCTTTATGCTGCGAACTACCCTTCTATTAATATTGGGTGTGATCAGTTGAATTTCAATTTCAAAAGTCTATTCTTTTTTTTTTTTTTTAAAGTTTTTTTTTTTTAAGATTTTATTTATTTATTTTTAGGGAGGGAAAGGAGGGAGAGAGAGAGATAGATAGATAGAGAGAGAGAGAGAGAGAGAGAGAGAGAGAGAGACATCAATGTGCGGTTGCTGGGGGTTATGGCCTGCAACCCAGGAATGTACCCTGGCTGGGAATCGAACCTGGGACACTTTGGTTCCCAGCCCGCGCTCAATCCACTGAGCTACACCAGCCAGGGCCAAAAGTCTATTCTTTACTACAACATTTAAAATACAGATTTTTTTCAGTTGAGGAAACAATGTAATTCAAAAGGATTACTACTCTGTGTACGTTAAATATGTCTTTGTTAAAAATACCTGCAACCACAGGATTATAAACCAGCTGCGATCCAAAAGCCTGATAAATCCAATTGTTTAGAACTTGGTGCATCTTCTTCCATTAAACTGTTCATAAACCACAACTAACATTTACTGAACATTTACTACTTGTCCAGAGCTGTGCTTAGTGCTTACATTAATTTTTTCTTAATCTGAACAACTCTATGATGGATGAACTTTTCTATTTCCCATTTTACTGATGAGGAAACTGATGCAGAGATAAATCAGGTAATTAGTTCAAGGTCATACAGCTAGAAAGTCACAGGGCAGAATCTGAACCCAAGCAAGCTGAGCATTTCTAAAATATGCCTTAGCCTGATCCTTAACCATTATGGATTCCATCTCTTGCTGACGGGGAGGCCCAGAGGCTAATCTCTACATCCCATAGTAAAAATAGTGATTACTGTGTAATAATAGTAACCTTAGTTCTGGAGTGTAAATCTAAGTACAGAAAAGGACATGAGAAAAATTTCTTTCTTTCCCCTGGTAAGAAAATCTAGGCATTGATAGAATTTATAGGGTGTAATTCATCTCTTCTGTATTTCTGAATACAAAAACAGATTAAAATTTCCCATTCTTTTTTCCTTTAAACTCTTCTGAATATAATGGTAACAAAGGCACTCTTTCACATATCACATATTCTTTTATTTCAGTGGAACTGAAAACTAATTTTTACAAGCTAAAGAGAACTAATTCTTGGTTATATAGAACTGTTTTCAAAAACTTGGATTTAAAAAAAAGTACTTAGAAGTAGCAAACAAATACTATTTATTTGGTAATTATTTCACAGACTTCCTAAAATTCAATGATAGTCTTTTTAGGAGAAGAGCCAGGCACTCTTCTTCTTTAGTATGTAAACTGTTTTAGTTTAAAATTGTATACTTTTAGTTACTAAAATTTCATATAATCAAATTACAATACATTTTCTGATCAGTATTTATTTCTATATTAACCTCCGCTTTGCTCTTTACTCAGTGCAGACAGATTTAGGCTATTTTTTTCTAACAGTTATGGGTCTGTCTTGGTATCTAAGACTAATAAAAAAGTGTAGTTTATACTTTAAAATAAAAAAGAAAACAGAACAATCTTTTACTGAAAGTTCTTGGCTGAGGCTTAACGTGTACCTAAGATGCTAAATAAAAGTACACTCTTCACTTGGGTGGCACATTTTCTTCTCCTTCATCAGCTGAGACCTTTCTTCCAAAGCGCAGCTCCTTAACTTCTAAGTAAACACGGTTCCCGAAGTGCCAGAATTCCTCTTTAACAAGGCAGTTGGTTCCACTCATCATATCTAGCTAAATGTAGTTGGAGCTGGTCTGCTAGCAGTGGTGCTGATTGGTTATGGTGAGTCACCTCAACTCCAACCAGTGCCCCTTGTGACCAATGGCCTGTGCTTATGAGGTAATGTAATGGGTCAGAATTCCGGCTCCAGGCTGTGGTTGAGGAGCAGCATTCGTGTAAGACAATGTTTTTACTGTTACTGGAATTCTACCCTAAAACTTGGCACTGCCTTGGAACCAAATGTTTCTTAACATTTACAGACAATGACATACCCTCCAACTTGCTAAGTGAGATATATCAAGGAAGTGTGGGGGGTCCGGGGTGTTCTCCCCTCGGAAGTCATCCATGGACTTCTTAGGATAGTGGCACCTAAATGAAGTCTTGAAGAATATGAAATTAGCCAGGACAATAAGATGGGGGAAGGAAGTTCCATGCAGAAGAAAGAAAACATTCCAAGACACCAGAAGGGTATAGGAAAATGATACATTCAGAGAAGTGCCCTAGTTTGCTCGGCTGCACGACAGAGGTCGTATGGGAGAGTGGCAAGACATGAAGCTTGAGAGAGAATCTGGGTGCTGATGAGAAAAGCATTTCCATGCAATTCTAGTATGTCAGACTACATGTTGAAGGTGGCGAAGAGTCGAAAAGATTTGAAGCAAGAATAAAGTATGAACAGAAACACTCAGGCTTTAGTGACACAGTAAAAGAGAAGAAGAAACCAATCAAGTTATAATAATTCAGGTGAGACGTGATGAGAGTTTGAACTAAACAGCAATCAGCATGGAGGCATGTGGTCAGATATAAGGGATATTAAAAATGAGACACTCAGAGTGACTGACATAGTAGGGGATAGGGAAGAGGGCACAATCAAGGATGACTTTCAAGTTGCCAGTGTGGGTAGCTGGTTAAGTAAAGGATTATTAAGCAGGTTTAGTCTGGGCAAGGGATGAAATGAAGCCGATAGGCGGTAAAGAGATTGTATATCCAGCATATGCTGATTCTTATAGGACTGCTAGTTTTCCATTTGTTACTTTTTTCTCTAGAGAAAAAAAGCAGCATTTAAAAGGACATTTTAGCTTTGTTACTGTAGAGGTCTACTGTGTATTTCCAGAAGCAAAAAAGAGGTCATGGTCAATGTTAAATATATTTATAACATATATTATTACAGTGAGTACCAAAATGGATTGGACCCATATGTTCAATTCACATTAAAATACATGTCACAGTCCATCTGCTTTTGAAGTTTTGTGTCAGAAGGAGTTTCCAGAACAAATGTCTAATATCCTGAGGACGCTTTAGTTTAAATTATCAATCTGTGCCACTGTACTTTAACTGTTTGCTACTTGGATATACCTCAACTACTAAATGTAGATACATGTTGGAAATCTGTTCTTGCAGACTTTTTAAAAATTTTTAAATATCATATTTTAGAAGATAAAATATGAGAAAAAGACTGTTTTATGGTGCTTCACCTCCAAAATGCACACATTTTCTTGAAGGGCTGAGAGCCAAGAAAAATTCCAAAGTAGTATACTGCTAGTAGCATGTGAATGCCTGGATAACACAGCTAAATACATTGGGGTGAACTAAAATCCCAGAGTGGAAAGACTCTTACAAGTATCTAGATACTTGCAAAACAGATGAGTTCTGAATAATCTTTATGATATATATTTATCCAAGATGAGCTTTGTAGGCAGGTTTGCTTGGATGGAATAAATTACTATCAAATTTCTGAGCCATAAATTTTCAACATTTCTAAAAAATATTTTATAAAACTCATAAAAACTGATACCTAGTTCCATAATAATCATTAACGTAGACCTAGAGTGACTTTGCCCTATTTATTTCTTATTTTGGCTCAACTTTGATCTGGGTAGAGTCAATTTCCTGTATACTAAGGTATTAAACAAAAATCTAGTAGATAATTAAAAAAAAGAAAGAAAGAAAAAAACCACTGCTTTTTGAGGACGCTACTGCTACGCAACAAAACTGCCATCAAATTCCATCTTTTATGGCCTGAGGGCTAGGAGGACTGGGCAAAGGGGGGAAAATGAGGACAACTGTAATAGTGTTGACAATAAAAATAAAGTTAAAAATATTCAATCTCTTTCGGATTTATTTATCACTGGTCTATTGTAACTTCCCTTAAATGTGCAAAGGCTGGTTTTAGTAGCATAGGACAGATTTTTTTTTAGGTTTTTTTTTGTTTCATTTTTGTAACATAGCAGAGACACTATTTATGAAGGTGATTCACTCAACTATAAAACACTATACAGGAAAAATAGAGTTTTTGAAATCTTTTTATTATAATTGATAAATTCAACATTTTGACAGATTACTTACTCAAGAAGATTCGGGTCTAGTCCTTCTGATATCATTTTGTTTCTTATTGCCATCAATGGAACACCCTAAGCAAAAAACACAATATAATAGTTCAATTATTAAAAATGTCTCCTTCATAAAAACAGAAAAATAGATTGATGGAACAGAATTGAGAGCCCAAAAATAAAACCCAAGCATACACAGTTGATTAATACTTGACAAAGGAGCCAAGACTACTCAATAAAGACAGTTTCTTCAATAAATAGTGCTGGGAAAGTTTTGAATATTCACATGTAAAAGAATGAAACTAGATCCCATTTTCCTCACTCACAAAAATCACCTTGAAATGGATTAAAGACTAAAATGTAAGACATTAAGCCATGAAACTCCTAGAGAAAACATGGGAAAAAGCTTCTTGACATGGATCTCTGTAATGATTTTATAGAAATCACAGCTAAAGCACAAGCAACAAAATAAAAAACAGGTGGGACTACATTAATCTTCAAAGGTTCTGCACAGCAAAAGAGGCCATCAACAAAGTAAAAGACAACCTAGGGGGTGGAAAAAATATTTGCAAATCATTTATCTGATAAGGGGTTAATATCCAAAATATATTGTAGAAGGAACTCGTGTAGCTCAGTAACAAGAAAACAAATAATCCAATTTAAAAACAGGCTATGGATCTGACAGAGAAGAAGACATTTAAATGGTCAGCAGTTACATGAAAAATGCTCGCCCTCACTAGTCATCAGGGAAATACAAATTGAAACCACAATGAGGCATCATCTAGCACCTTTTAGAATGGCCATCAACAAAAAGACAAGAGATAACAATGCTGGAGCAGATGTGGAGAAAAGGGAAGCCTTGTGCACTGCTGATGAAACCATAAACTGGTGTAGCAACTACGGAAAACAGTATGGACGTCCTCAAGGAATTAAAAATGGAACTATCATTATGATCCAGTAACTCCACTTCTGAGAAAAGAAACGAATACACTAACTTGAACAGGTACCTGCACCCCATGTTCATAGCAGCGTTATCCATAAATAGCCAAGACATGGAAACATTCTAAGTGTCCCTTGATGGATGAATGGATAAAGATGTTGATATATAGATATATATAACATATAGATGTTGTTTAATAGATATATATTATTCAGCCATTAAAAATGAGAAAACCTCACCATTTGCAACAATATGGATAGGTCTTGAAGGCATTTATGCTAAGGGAAATAAGTCAAAATAAGACAAATACAGTATCATCTAACTTATACATGAAATTAAAACAAAACAAGTCATATCAAACTCATAGATTTGTGGTTATCAGAGATGGTATGGAAATTGGAGGAAAGTTGTCAAAAGGTACAAACTTCCATTTACAAAAATCATACCGTAAGTACTAGAGATGTAACACACAAAGTGAGGACTGTATTTAGCACTGCTTTTGAAATATTGGGAAGTTGTTAAGAGAGTAGATCCTAAGCATTCTCACCACAAGGATACATCTTTTTCTTTTTATTGTATCTAAATGAGATGATGAATGTTAACTAAACCTATTGCAGTGATCATCTCACAGTATGCGTAAATCAAATCATCATGCTGTACACCTTAAACTTATACAGTGATACACTGCATTTACTTCTCAATGAAACTGGAAAAAAATTTTAAAAATGGATGCTAAAAAACACCTTTATACGTCTCTACACACTACCTAAAACAAGACCTCTCAGAGGGCTTATTATTGAAAATAGCTCTTATTTTTTTTTTATATTAGTATGTGCACAATACTTCAATAATCTAACGAGGTACACATCTTAACTGACTTTAATGGAATCAGTGTTATCCAGTTCAAATCAAATACTTGCACTTATCTATTACTACCGTATTTTGCTGGGTAAAATGTGCTCCCATGTATAATGTGCACCCATGTTTACATGCATATTACACATGCATTATGCCTATGGTATGCATCATGACACCCATGTATAATGCACATCCTTATTTTTCCCTCAAAAATTTGGGCAAAAAAGTGTGCATTATACATGGCAAAATAAGGTAATTGTACTGTACAGAAGTAGCCAGGTATCATATTCTTACTCTTCTACCACCTAAAGAAAATGCTGATAACTTAAACAATACTCAATAAATTTCTTTTCAGATAAAGGTTTCAGAGCTTTCTACTCTTAAGTATAGCTATGTTAATGTTGTTTTCAGAAGCAAATGGTCTAATTCCATGCACAAAAGTCAAATAGAATTCAAAAACTCCCGAGACTATATTACACATCTTCCCTACACCAGTACCAATACTGAGTAATGATAATTTTGGAAGTACATAGTCATAAGAACATTGAGAATATGTGAATTTCAAAGTTTAGGATAACATCAAAACAATAAGGCTATGTCAGAAATAAATACAAATTTACTTGAAAAGGGAACTGATTTGATAGATAAATGAACATTTATTGAAAACTCACTTATAAAGTTCTAAAGGGAGAAGATGTAATCAAGTGCATTTGTCAACTCCTCCTCTTCGCGTCATCCCAAAAGATGAGGAAACACTAATCTGATGAGTTCTATTTGAGGACTTTGATTATATCACTTTCAAAAGTGAGCTGGCTCACTGTGCTATACATTTTTTAAAGGTTTTATTTTATTTATTTTTAGAGAGGGGGGAGGGGAGGGAGAAAGAGAGAGAACCACTGATGTGTGAGAGAAACATTAATCTACTGCCTCAAACACCCCCAACTGGGGACCTGGCCTGCAAACCAGGCATGTGCCTTGCCGGGGAATTGAACCAGTGACCTTTTGATTTGCTGTCTGACACTCAATCCACTGAGCCACACCAGCCAGGGCAAGTCACTGTGCTTTAAAAGGCTGTGCACACCATTGGGACACTCTCCCTCTTATCTCTTTATTCCATGTGGTAGAAGGGGTGAACTGAGCCAGGGCTCACATGGTAAAAAACTCAGTCACCTCCCTACTGATATTGCATGTTCTTTCCATTGTTGTTGCACAGTCCTCTCATGTCACTAGCTAGTTGTGACATTCAGGTTTGACCCTAAGGCACAGAAGAGGCCCTTTAGAGCTCTGATGCCTCAGTCCAGTTTCTCAGAGGCCTACCCTGAATTTTCAGGGCACCAGCCCAGTTAAGGTTTCCCTGCTTTCTTTTGCGGTTGTCTGTCCCTTGGTCTGAAGGATGTTACTTTTCTGTCTCAGGGTTCTGACAGAGTGGTTAGGAGTCAATTTATTGTGGTTAGCAGTAGAATTCTGATACGAAAATCCCACACCTCAATGTTTAACATCACTATGGCAGCGCAGTGCTTTATGCCAAGAAAATAAAGGTATAATCAGCCCCTGGCCTCAGGGAGTAGTCTAATGGATGGGTTAAACATGTGATCACAATACAACCATGAACCTTGTAACAGAAGCTTGCATAATGGGCAATGTTAGACCCAGCAAAGGGTTCCTTGAGGTGAGTCTTGAAGACGGGATAGGTGTTTAAAAACAAAGACTTAAATAAAAGTCTTCAGTCATTTTTATATAGATATAGATATAGATAAAAGAAAATACACATAACTTATAATATCTTACCCCATTAGAGACTTGACTTTTATCAACTTAACACAAATATCATAAAGCTTGATACAAAAATAATTTGGCCTGTCACAAAGGATGCATTCCAAATGGATTTGCTATGTTTCTGGTGACGTTGCTTAGAAAATTTGTTGTTTTGCTGTATTCGTCCTTAGAGGTTAAGGAACAGTCTGGTTTGTTAAACATCAAAAAGAAGTGTCCAGTTTCTGATCTCCAAGAAACAAGGCTACTGGTGGTCTAAGGAGGACACGAGAGACCTCAGAACGAAAGCCTACTGAACTGTGGGATTATTTTTGGCGAGTGAAACGGCAGTGTGTCCAACATAAGTAATGAAGAAGAGAGAAGGCAGCCATAAGTCTGATGTTCCAAAAAATCATGTCTGTATTTGCGTCACTGGAGAATGTGTGTAAAGAAGCTACAGTAATGAAATTATGATGGCAACACTGATAGTTAAATACTCGTTTCTCACATCACAAAAACTGAAGGTTATATAGGACTTGCCAATATTTACATTTATGTTATTGTGTTAATGAAATCCAAGCTACTAAATTCCTTTATAAACCACGTTGAAATTTTCCTACAGTTTTAAATTAGAAGGAGGAAACCCCCTCTTAATCTAATAGAGATGGTTTTCCTTTTTAAAAATAACAAAAACTCCTTATATTTGAGTTTTTCCTCTTAGTTTATGAGCTTGAATCACAACAGTTCAGTTCTGAAAGATGGAAAATAGGAAGCTTATACAGTTTTTTCCCTACTAGGTCAACATAAAGATCTACTGAGCTGATAGGTGGATAGTATACCTTTTTTATTTTTCAGGGAGATGGAATGAGTAAGAGTTGAAAATATGCTATGGGTTGAAAAAAAGGCAGGCAGTCCTCTAACCAGCCTTTTTTGCTTAAATTTTAACGTAGTAAAGTGGACTCAGTCATGTCTTTGCCTTCTGATAGTCAATAATGCTCTCTTTAAAATATTTATACTGCATTTTATAAAATATATTAGTAGGGTGTTATGTTTAGGAAAAAATTTCAGATAAAATATTCTCTATAACAGATAATACATGTTTATTGAACAAACCATAACACAAAAGCAAGTGTATGTTTAATAATCTTTTCTCGTTCTAGAAGCTTTCTGTGAAGGCATACAAAGTTAATTTAAATAAATCTCTTAATCGCTGCAGAATGAATATGGCCATCTATAAAAAGGAAGCTTTATTTCTAATGACCACAGATTTAGAAAATCATAGGCTCCAAAATTATCTCTGATACTGTTGCCTCAAAGGGTCATTAATTTAAAATTAAATATGTGGACACAAAAGAAACTCACAAATCTTGACTGGTACTATTCACAGTGGTTTCTATGGAGCTACAGGAAATTATTCCTTTTTTAATGATTGTTTCAACAGATCAGTTTCATAGGGAGAAAGTATTCTTCACTGACTGTGCATCAGGTATCTTTAAAGACAAGGGAACAAATCATCTGATAAAATGGATAA